CATATGCTAAAGCAGTGGTTCTCAACCAGGCATACGTATACCTGGGGCTACGCAGAGGTCTTCCAGGGGTACATCCACTCATCAAGATATTTGTCTAGTTTTACAACAGGCTACATAAAAAGCACTAGGGAAGTCCATACAAACTAAAATTTCACACAGACAATGACTTGTTTATACTGCTCTGTGTACTATACACTGAAATGGAAGTACAATATTTATATTCCAATGGATTTATTTTATAATTCTATGGTAAAAATCAGAAAGTGAGCCATTTTTCAGTAACAGTGGCTGTGACACCTGTATTTTTTCGTCTGATTTTGGAAGCAAGTAGTTTTTAAGTGAGGTGGAACTTGAGGCTATGCAAGACAAATCAGATTCTTGAAAGGAGTACAGTAGTCTGGAAAGGTTGAGAGCCTCTGTGCTAAAGAATATGGGATGGACATACTGGTCAAGATTGTCAAAACTGGGTGCCTAACCACAGTCTCTAAATCAGTGGTCTCCAACCTTTTTATGCCCAAGATCACTTTTTGAATTTAAGGACAACCCAGGATCTGCCCTGCCCATTCCCCAAAGCCCCGCCCCACTCACTCCATCCCCCCCTTTCTCTGTTGCTCACTCTCCCCCACCCTCACTCACTTTCACTGGGCTGTGGTAAGGGGTTGGGGTTCAGGAGGGGGTGCAGGGTGTGAGCTGGGGCCAAGGGGTTTGCAGTGTGGGCGGGAGTTCCAGGCTGAGCTTGATGCAGGGGGTTGGGATGAAGGAGGGGGTGCAGGGTGTGGGCTCTTGGAGGGAGTTTGGGTGCAGAAGTGGGCTCCAGGCTTGGGCAGAGTGTTGAGGTGCTGGATCTGGGAGGGGATATGGGCTGGGGCAGGGGGTTGGAATGCAGGAGGGGCTACAGGGTGCTGGCTCTGAGAAAGAGGTCAGGGCTGGGGCAGGAGGAAGTATGGGATGCTGGCTCTGGGAGGGGGCTGAGAGCTGGGGGTTGGGGTGTGGCCTCCCGCCGGGTGGCACTTACCTCGGGCGGCTCCTGGTCAGCGGTGCAGCGAACTTAAGGCAGGCTCCCTGCCTTCCCTGGCCCCACGCCACTCCTGGAAGGGGCCAACATACCCCTGTGGCTCCTGAGGGATGCGGGGGGCACGTGGCTCCACATGCTGCCCCTCTCTGCAGGCACCACCCCCGCAGCTCCCACTGGTCACAGTTCCCCATTCCTGGCCAACGGGAGCTGTGGAGGTGGTGCTTGCAGGCAGGAGCAGCTAGGGGTGAAAGTAACTTAAAGGACTTACTGGTATGCAAAAGTCCTGAGCAGGGGGCATGGCCTCAACTGGAAGAGGCGGGGCCTTTAAATACCCTGGCCCTTTAAATCAAGATTTAAAGGCCCAGGGGCTCCGGCTGTGGCTGGGAGCCCCAGGGCCTTTAAATCACCCCCGGAGCTGCCAGCTGCAGAGGCAGCTGGGAGCCCCGCAGCTCAGGGGCGATTTAAAGGGCTTGGGACTCTGGCTGCTGCTACCACAGCGGAGCTCCAGGCCCTTTAAATCGCTGATGGAGCCCTGCCACTGCTACCCTGGGGCTCCAGCAGTAGGGCTCGGGTGGTGCTTTAAAGGGCCCAGGGCTCTGGCCACTGCAGGGAGCCCTGAGCCCTTTAAATCACCAGCCTGGGGAAGCCGGGCCGGGCTGGTCCGATACGGCGTACTGGCTCTTGCCAGTACGCCGTACCTGACCGGGCTGGCTTACTTTCACCTCTGGGAGCAGCGCACGGAGACTCCTGCCTCCCCACTCCCCCCATCCCCCCAGGGCCAAAGGGGTTTGCTGGCTGCTTCTCGGAGCAGCATGGGGCTGGGGCAGGCAGAGAGCCTGCCTTAGCCCTGCTGCACTGCCGGAGATCACAATTGACTGGGAGAGTCTCTAGGATCAACCAGTCAATCGCAATCGACTGGTTAGTGACCACTGCTCTAAATCCATATTTAGGCATCTAAACAAGTTTCCGTGACATATTTTGTTTTTTACTTTTGTGACGATTGCAAGATCTTTGAGTCAGTGACTATGTACTCTTTATTTGTACTGTGATACATCTGTGACACAGCCATTGGTGTCAACTGGCTAAGGGTTCATTCTTTACAAACTCCTGTCTCAGACTTGAGAAACTCGTTTTCACTTTCATTACAGCTAATACACCATTTATCCAGAAAGGGTAGCATCTGAAGTCTCTACTGAAAGCTTGTAATTTGCCAATACTCATAATCCCTGAAAGATTGTGCTTATGGGTAATATTTAAGGAATAATGTACCTATATTGAAAATCGTGCCCTCATGGTCTTGGAGTAAAAGTGAGTCACTAGGGAATCATGTCTCTGTGATGGCCCATTCAATCAGGAGGGAGTTGGCTAGCCAACTCCTCCCTGGCTAGCCAATCCCATAATGTAATGTAGTCCATGGAAAACCTGTCAAACTATGAACATCAATACCACTTGGAAGTGAAAAAGATGATAGGACAGATAGGTGATCTCCCTGCATGTGAATAAAGATTTAGGATATCACAATGTGGAGAAAGACACTCTGGATCCATTCACTCAGGAGGTACCATGATGAGTGGGGGTGCTTCATGAAAGACTGGGTCCTAGCTCCTTGGGGCCAGCAAGCACTGCAAAAGTCTGGACTTTAGGGTGAGACTCTACTTTACTAGATGGGAAAAGTAACTATTAATAAGTGTAGGCCCTAGTTTACATTTTTATGATTTTGTTTTATATGTAAGCATTTGTTTCCATCACTCACGCTTGTTTCTATTTGAATCTCTTCGTTCTTTAGTAAATTTCCAATAGAACTCAAGTGCTGTGTGTGATATGGGAGGGGTGGTCTAAGGTAAAACTGCTAAACTGGGGTACACGCCTCCTTTGGGAATGGAGGATCTGGGATTTCTGTGGGCATCCAGAGATCAGGGGCTGGATACCACAGGGGGACACTTTAAAGGCACCTGGTGACTGGGGTGCATCTATTGTTATCCTGCAGGGCAAAAGCAGGCCTGGCATAGCCCCGAGGAGAGTTCTTGAGTGGCTAGCAGGCTGGTTGTGTTAGGGAGATACACCCAGCTGGCACAGACTCCTTCACACTGGAGTCATATGGAGACAGGTTGGTCACAGCCCCGAGAAGCATCACAGCATCTCACAGACTTTTGGGTACTGTAATATAATAAAAATATATGGGCTTATCTTCAAAGATGCTGATCACCCACAACTCCAGTTGAAGTCAGGGTTGCTCAATGCCTTTGAAAATTAAATGAATAATGAATAATCTCAATGCTTTTTTTCTGAAGGAAGCAATTTAACTTATGGAGCACGCAAATATCATGATGCAGTAGACTGTTTGGATGTTGTGTGTGTGTGTAGTGGGGTGGTCACCCCGCTCCAGCCCTGGAAGGGTTAAAAGCAGCCCTACAGAAGGCTGTGTCTGGGTAAAAGGGATTAGGAGCAGCTGGGGAAGCTGACTGTGTAGCTGACCATAGCTGTCGCCAGCTCAATCAGCACCCAGCTGGCCCTGATAAGAGGGCTGTGGGCCAGAAGCTGAAGGAGTCTCACACTAGCTCTGGAGTGGGAAGGACCTAGCTGCCTGGGAACCAGGTACCCAAAGCGGAGCAGTGCTGGGGAAGGGCAAAGGGAGCTTGGGCGCTCCAGCCTGGTAAAACCCCAGGCTGCAGGCCTTGTCAAAGGCCCAAAAAGGTACTGGGGCTCCAGAGGGGCAGCCTGGGGATAGGCAAAGGCAGCAGGTCCTACCCCCTTGCCAATGATGAGTGGTCATTACAGACTGCAGTCTGCCCCAGTGAGTGGGGGCTAGATGATGACTGGCAATAGCCACTGAGGCAAGGTGGGTTTAGAGGGTTGAGGGTTCCCCTGGGAGGAGAGACCCAGAGCGTGTGGGTCCTGCTGGGGCAGAACCTTGAGGTAAAGGGCACCGGGGGTCTAGGAGAGACATGGGGGCCTCAGGCAGGTGAGACACCAGCCTGCAGAGGGCGCTCCATACACTGGAAAAGAGCCAATTCACAGGACAGCCAGCAGGAGGTGCCACACTGGTGAGTCTTGCCCTGCTACAGTGTGAATGAAACATCTGACAGGGATGCGTTACCAAAATATTCCCATCTCCTAGCTACAGATAGTTTCAGTGTGTAAGATATACATTTATTAATTAAAACGTCTGCTTAGTAAACATTAAGGGGAAAAGCATGATCCAACAGAGCCAGTGCGGTAAACTGGAGGCAAAGGGCACAGAACTAATGAAATCAATGTTAATTCAAATTATTATGGTCGAAGTAATCATTGGCCTCTGTGCTGTACAGAACATAAGGAAAGATACAGGAACTTCAAAGAACTTTACAATGGCATGGCCTGATCCAAAGCCCAAATAATCCAATGGGAATCTTTCCACTGGCTTAAATGGCCTTTGGATCACTAAGATCCCATTTCTCTAAACACTTTCACACACCCTTAACTTTGTGCAGATGAGTAATTTCAGTGGGACTGCCCACATGCCTGAAGTTAGGCACATACATAAGTGCATTCAGGATTGGTGTTGGGGTCAAAGGGCCTGATTTTACACCACTAAAGTCAATGGGCTTTTACCATTGAGTTTTACTGGTGCAGGACCAAGCCCTAACTTACAAGCCTATTACGTTGTTCAGTGGATCCTATTTCTAGTTAGCATTATTTATGTTTCATTATCACTCCTGTGAAGAACGGCATTATCCCACAAAGTCCATTTAAAATTGAAAGAAGTCTCCTGAAGGTTCAGGTTTTACTCGGGGTTCTTTCAACCCAAAGCTCTTGGTAACTTTTACTCTGTGCGAGGTGGTGTCAGGAAATAAATCCGGGGAGACACAGCCATCTGACCTATAGATGGCTGGCACAAACAGGACAACACGAGTGCTTTCACTTAAAGCTAAACTTTACTTAGTCTCAAGCACTTAGACACATGTCTGCAACAGGTTAGTAAAACACCCCAACCCTTGATAATTACCAAAGCTGAGTGTAGCTCTCGAGTGGCACAGCGGCAGCCCGTCTGCTAGTGGGGAACACAAGATGCATCCAGAGGCAGAGTCCAGTTCTGAAGAGTCCCCCTACCTCAAACTTTCCCCCCTTATTTATACATTAGTAATAGAATGACATGTCCCTTAAAGAAAACTTGTTAAGCAAGCAGTTCCAATGGGTAAGCAAGAGGCTCCTTCTGATTATCGATTAACCAGGTGTGGGAGTTTTCCAGAGTTTGCAGCCTTGAGGCCCCAGTAGACATTCCTGGGACACGTACATGCATCTTAGAAGAGCAGGATCAGCAACGTCAACACAATTCTTATCAGGAAGGACGGGGGTCAAGCTGCCCTTTCTGTGGCACCCAAACCTCCCCCCCCCCCCCCCCTTGGTTAAGCTAAGCTTGCTGACTTGGCTGCTTTTAGCAATAAGCCATAGTGGTTTCAAGCACTTTACCGGCTTGCCAAAGTCTCCCCGTACACAGGGAGGTGATGATTCATTCCATCCATTATTGAGTGCTTGTAGCATATTTTTATCTATGGTAGGTTTGTGCTGCTGCAGCCATCACGAGGTGATGCTTTTTCATCTGGCAACAGGTATGATTTGTAACAATATTATCAATAATTAAATCCTAACAATTGCAATAATCTTTACAAGTATGATCCTTACGTTTCCTTCATTGTACAGTGTACCAACAATAAAACCAAAGGGATTTTTTAAAATTTTAAATATCTTATTTTTATGCAATAGCATTCTTTTTTCCAAAATGCGCTCTTAATACATGACCAGAGGATATGTGAGTGGGTCCCTTTTTCGCTATGATTGTGCCAGAAGTCTGGCAATCTGTGGTGTCTTTATTAGTTACTGAATGTTGGGAAATAGTGGGTATCTATTTTTCCATAGGAATTCTTGGAATGCATGTTGTGATGTGAAAATTTTGGCAAATTTTTCTTCCAATCATCTGTTATAATATCTATTTATCGTTCTTGTACCAATATATGCATAATATAGAATTTTCTTTGCTTCTTCTAGTTAAGAAGAGAGCTTTGGGATATCTCTTGGATTCTTGACCTTTTTGTACCATTAGAAAACATTCTGCAGATCTAGCAGGAGCTGTCTCAAGGGTTGCAACTGTTTGTGCGAAAATAGGTAGTGTATAATTTGCAAATATTTATAAGATTCTGTTCTTGGTAATTGAAACTGCTGTTAATTGCTCATGATTTCAATCCAGACAGCTGGTTTGTTTTTCTGCAGAGCTCCCACAGGATGGGAGGCATTACTCAGTGCCTCAAACCCCAACAGGCTTTGCTTCTTTGCATCATTTTATTGTGTATATTCCACATTTCTAACCATACTTGACTGAGTAATGAAGGAGGCTGTGGTTTGTTCCATGTATTAGAAAGGGGAGCAGCAGGTATCTGAAGTATCCTAAGCCTTTGACTTTGAGAATTTACCAGCGGATAGAGGCATTGGGAGTTGCATGGAGCTTGAATAAGAAGAGAGGACAGAGAAGAGCCTGCATGAGCTCAGCCTTATGCTAAGTAACGTGGAAGTGGTAGTTGGAAGGATGAATGTCATGAAACTTCTTGAACAGTGATTGGAGTTTAATTGAATTACAAATTTAGAATCAGGCCAAGTCCCCAAAAGGCAAGACAATGTTGCATTGTTGCAAAGCAAATTTTGTCAAAAATGATGCACGGCTGAACAAATCACACTGGCAAATTGAAATGTGTGGGAAGGACACAGAAAGGAAAATGACAGGGAAGCTGGCAAATATTCTTCCAAGGATAAACGTATTAGAAAAGAGAGAGAATTAGTGTGGGTGACCAGGAAAGTACAAGGGGCTACAAAAGAGAGCATACCAAATCCCTATAAATCAATAGGGTAATCAACAGGAGTTATATAATTACAAGCATGTAAGAAGCTGAAGAAGAACAACATAGCAAAGGACAAACAAAAAAGGATTTTACATAAATATAAAAGGAGCAGGAGGTCAGTAAGAGATGATAGTGCCCTTGAGGGGGATTTGATGACAGACTGACGAGGCAGATATTGCTGGAGAACGAAATGATTAATTTAAGGAGAGGTTTCAGAGGAACAGCCGTGTTAGTCTGTATTTGCAAAAAGAAAAGGAGTACTTGTGGCACCTTAGATCTGATGAAGTGAGCTGTAGCTCACGAAAGCTCATGCTCAAATAAATTGGTTAGTCTCTAAGGTGCCACAAGTACTCCTTTTCAATTTAAGGAGAGTGAATGAAAAGATAAGTTTCTTGAGAAGAGAAAAGCAAAAGTAATTGAAACTAATGGTGATGCTGAAAAGAGAGAGAAATTCAGAGCATCTAAAATCATGGCCTTCAGCTGGAAATATGAAAGTTCTAGTGGATGAAATATAGACGTCTGAAGTCTGGCACTCTAACTCTGTCCTAGGAACATGGGGGCAAGACCCTCAGCTGGTGTAAATCAGACTAGCTTCACTGAAGACACTGATTTATGCCATCTGATGATCTGGCCCATGAGAGAGAACTAGACTGGAGGGAAGCAAATATGTGACTATCATATTTAATAGGAAGAACCTGGAAACTATTGATCTATTCCTCTAATTTCCATACTGCAGTTTCACTTCTGGTCCCCATCCTGTGGTCAAGAGTTGTTGGTCAGGGAAAAAGCAGGACAGCCGTTGGTCAGTCTCAGATGGAAAAAGTCCATATGACTTTAAGTAGACGGTAGTCATAGTTAATCAGCTGGACTGAGCTATCTGAGTCAATCTGAGGCCCAAATAAACAGCTTCATTCTTATTTAGTCAATGAGAATGAATCGGAGTGAAGCAGTTTATCTGGGTTTCCAGTTGACTTTTGATACAATACCATATAAAAGATTAATGCATAAGCTTAGCAAATACCTTCACTCAGTTAGATAAACAGCTGACTATGTAAGAGAAGCTGGCTGTGGGTGCTAAATGGTTACAAAACAAGCAGGAGGTAGGCGATCTACTACAGGGATTAGTAATGGACACACTCTTGCTCAGTCTACATATCAGTGACCGAGAAGGCAAAACCATCAGGGCCTGATCCAAAGCCTATTCAAGTCAAGGGAAAGACTCCCATTGACTTTAATGGGCTTTGGATCAGGGCCTGGATATGCAATCATTCAGATGACTCCAAGACCCCAATGTAGCAAGGTTCTTAAGCACCTGCCTAACTTTAAATATTTAATGTAAGTAATCTCATTGACTTCAGTTGATGACTAGGTTTTAAATTAGACAGGCACTTAAGTACCTTGCAGAACCAGGCCTAAATGAGAGGGGTGATCAATACCAAAAGAGGAAGGAGGCTAAATCTAGAGCAGGGGTGGGCAAACTACAGCCCAAACTGCATCTGGCCCTACAGACATTTTAATCCGGCCCTCAAGCTACGGCCGGGAGCAGGGTCCGGAGCTTGTCCCGCTCTGGTGCTCCAGTCGGGCAGTGGGGTCAGGGTCTTGTCCCGCTCCGGGAGGCTCCTGGAAGCAGCAGCATGTTCTCCCTCCAGCTCCTACACATAGGGGCAGCCAAGGGGCTCCACGTGCTGCCCCCGCCCCAGGTGCCACCCCCGCAGCTCCCTTTGGCTGGGAACCATGGCCAATGGGAGCTGCAGGGGCAGCACCTGCAGACAGGACAGTGTACAGAGCTGCTTGGCTGCGCCTCCACGTAGGAGCCAGAGGGGGGACATCCTGCTGCTTCTGGGAGCTGCTAGAGGTAAGCACTGCCCGAAGCCTGCACCCCTGACCCCCTCCCATGCCCCAACCCCCTGTCTCAGCCCTCTCCTGCCCTCCGAACCCCATGGTCCCAGCCCGGAGCACCCTCCTGCACCCCAAACCCTCATCCCCAGCGCCCACAATCCCAGCCAGAACCCTCACACACACACCCCTGCACCACAACCCCCTGCCCCAGCCTGGAGCCCCTTCCCACACACTGAACTCCTCATTTCTGGACCCACCACAGAGCCGCACCCCCAGGGGGAGCCCGCACCCCAACCCCCAGTTTCGTGACCATTCATGGCCTGCCATACAATTTCCATACCCAGATGTGGCCCTTGGGCCAAAAAGTTTGCCCACCCCTGATCCGTAGAGACCTGGAAAAAACAAGGACATTGACATATAAGTGGCTTATTATTTAATGAAAACTAGTAGAAAATAATGAGTGGAATGAAAATGCAGCGTCCTTGCTTTTATAGCAGAGGTAAAAACAGTTTATTTAGACCGTTATTATTAATATCCACATGTTATTTTATATTTAATACACTGAAAAGGGGTGAGATGTTTTAGTTTAATTTTAAAAATAGCTGTGCACATCTATTGCAGGAACCACCAATTATTTTAACTTTATTTATTTGGGTGGATTAATTTTGTAGCCAGCCACTCTATTAATTCCCTGCAGGATAAGGGAGGACAGAATCCAGAGAGAAGAGACAAATATATTGTCAGTTGTATACTTGTCATTTAATTGACCATCCCTCATATACTGTCATCCCCAATTCCAACATTACCTTTCATAGCAAGTGCTAATGATCGCACAGCCACAGAAAATATCCGAAGAAATAGGATAACCCCGATAGGCCCCTCCAGCCAAAATGAAACTCCCTGTAAGATCTCCATTAATTAAAATCTCTACAGCTGGATTCCCTTCATTGTAGGAAATGAACACAATCCCTATAGTTAACTCTTCATTCCAAGGATTTCTTCCTGCATCTACAGAGATAAGCAGCAGTTGTTTGGCATCTAACTTGACTGATGCATGATGTTGCTAACTCTTCTTTAAAATGATCTGCTGCTCAGGGTCCAGCAATAAACCCAGTTTGATCTCTCTTTGAAAATCCCCTAATCAGACTATCACATCTAAAGTCTAAATCTTGGCTTTTAGGTTAATATCAGTATTCACGAAAGCAAGTCACCATCTTGTGTCTTACTGTTTTTACCCCTGAGGCCAAGCCTACGCTAAGTTTTGCCAACACATGTTACATCAGCATAAAGCTGCCGCAGTTAGTACCTCACTTGTGCGTGTGCATTCTTGGCTTCTTGTGTTAACGCTGCACATGCTCACCAGGAGTGTTTGTGTCGATGCCCAGTGCAGTGCACAACCTAACACCGTCCAGCTCAACATCCAGGAAGCTTTGGCAATGCAAGGTGGAGCAGAAACAAATCACACAACGGTGACTGGGAACGAGGGATCAACTTTGCAGAGTGCCCTTGTCTCCAACCCACAATGTCATCCATATCCCATAATTTTCACACCTTCTTTAAAAATCCCACAAACCCAGCGTGGTCCTTCATGGGCCAGGGACAAGCCAGTGCTTCCCACAGCACATCCAGTTTGTGGCCAGATCTCACTATTTCTTCCTCCACAACAGCTCTAAAGTCCAGCCTTTTCTCCTGGTCACAACATTCAAAGTCTGGTCTGGTCCTCCACCATCTGGATTACTGCATCCTCTCCCTCTCTAGCCTCCCTGCCATCCATCTTGCCCCTCCTCCCACTCCCACCTGTGATACATTGCAAGTGCTATATTCTTATCTGCCTTTCACACACGTCACCTCCCTCCTCTGGCTTCCCTTTCTGCACTGCATTAAATCCCAGTCGTTGTCCTGCTTACTCCTCCTTTCCCACTCAGCCCTCCCCATCCTGGTCCCTCACTTCTGGGCAACTCAAATTGGCAGACCCAAGGAAGGCAGATATGAAAAAGAGGAGCTATGGGCAAAACCTGCCTGAATCCCATGCAGCGAGGACATGTATTTATCTTTTTTTTCCAGCCTGTCAGTCTCAAAAGAAGATTCTCTGGATCAGACCCAGAGCTACTGAGGCTGATTTTACTCCTCAGTTGGTCTTTCCTACCACAGTGAGTGAACAGCTCCCCCCTCAGGGGCGGCCTCTAATCAAAAAAGTGAATTGCAGGACTATGGATGGGAAGATTTCCCCCCAAGTGCCCTATGGATACAGCTACATTTTCTGCTGCTGTTGTATTGATTGAGGGACCCATCAGCAGGGTGCCCCTAAAGGTTCTCAAATAAGTATTTCTAACTATAGACAGAGGAGATGAGATTTTAACCCAGGCAGATACAACTCAACCTGAAAAGAGAGACTAAAGAGATCTAGTTGGACTATATTCAGGGAGCCTTGGA